TCTGCACCTCTTCATATTCAGCTTGTCATGTTAGGTAGCTTTTGGGGTGTTTTTAAAGTGGGGTCCACACCTCTTCATATTCAACTTGTCATGTTACGTAGCTTTTAGGGGTGTTTTTAAAGTGGGGTCCACACTTCTTCATATTCAGCTTGTCAGGTTACGTAGCTTTTGGGGTGTTTTTTGAAGTGGGGTCCACACCTCTTCATATTCAACTTGTCATGTTACGTAGCTTTTAGGGGTGTTTTTTAAGTGGGGTCCACACCTCTTCATATTCAGTTTGTCATGTTACGTAGCTTTTAGGGGTGTTTTTTAAGTGGGGTCCACACCTCTTCATATTCAGTTTGTCATGTTACGTAGCTTTTGGGGTGTTTTTTGAAGTGGGGTCTGCACCTCTTCATATTCAGCTTGTCATGTTAGGTAGCTTTTGGGATGTTTTTAAAGTGGGGTCCACACCTCTTCATATTCAACTTGTCATGTTACGTAGCTTTTAGGGGTGTTTTTAAAGTGGGGTCCACACTTCTTCATATTCAGCTTGTCAGGTTACGTAGCTTTTGGGGTGTTTTTTGAAGTGGGGTCTGCACCTCTTCATATTCAGATTGTCATGTTACGTAGCTTTTGAGGTGTTTTTTAAGTGGGGTCCACACCTCTTCATATTCAGTTTGTCATGTTACGTAGCTTTTAGGGGTGTTTTTGAAGTGGGGTCAGCACTTTTTCACTACTTGTGGTTGAATGCCAAAAACTCACACTCATTTATTTCATAAACTAAAACATTTGCTTGAACCCCACAAAAAGCAAAAAATGAGTCGGATTCGAGGCATGACCGTATCAGTCTCTCTCAAAAAAAGCAAAAATAGTTGGGATTTATGGCATGATTCCACTAGTTGTGTTTAATAGGTGGTATAAACGAATGGTTACTACTATGGTGTCACTGAATGATTTTTAATGACTGCCATTATAAAGGGTCCCAAAAATATCTGCTTCAAATTGATAAATACGAATATGTGAAAGAGATAGAATGATCAATTAATCAAAGACGTTACTTTAAATAAACAGTTTATTTACGCATCAATTCTTGTTTTTGTCATTTTTCTGTTCTAATGCTTCGTCTTTTGGTTATTATCTATATTTAGCCATCGTTTTATATCTCTTTCCATCGATGATGGAATCGAAAAATGGCTGTTTATTTTTTGTATCGTCTTTTATCTTTTGTTTCTTATAAAGTTTGGCAATTTCGCTTCCAGTTGTGTTTTGTTTTCTAATTTGACTTCATATTTCATCTTTTTTGTTTTTAATGGATTTGATCTAATGTTTAATAATAGTTAACCATACTTTTCAGCATTTTCATGAATATATCCGTTTTCGACCGACTCAACACTCTTTTCTTCGTTATTTGGTGCATTTACGATTAATTCAATTACAGGGTTTTCGTTTTTATGTTTGAATACTTGGCTTTTAACGTTTGATAGATGCCATTTAATACGTGTCCATTTCAAGACATGTTGATCCAATATATATATATGTTCATTATTGAATGTCACTTTGTATATTTTTCCATTTTTGTACACACTGTTGAATTTACTGTTTAATAAATGAAATTTACTGTTAAAAAATATGCTTTATCCATCCGCTTGGTACTAAATTTGATATTTCTATTATTCCTGAATGATTCAATAGGGTTTGTTATGTAGATACCATCTGTATTATATCCATACACTACACTATCCTTACCATGGCATGTTTCTATTAATTGTAGACATTTCAATATAGCTTCAGATACAACAAACCTGTTAATACTTGTATGGTCTGAAACTATACGCTTTACCTTTTGTCTCGTATAAGATATATACCATTATGGTGATCAATTGTTACATTTTTATCCTCACTCATAGCAGACGTCCAACATGCTGTCGCGGTTTCATAGCAGACGTCCAACATGCTGTCGCTGTTTCATAGTCTGTACAAGTGAAAACTTGGTTTACTTTATTGTATTTGCAACCAAGCTCTCTGTTAAAGCTATTTGCTATTTTCTCAGCCTCACCCTCTCGAAGGTTATCGAAAATGTGTTTTATGAACTCACTAACTGCATCTAGTTTCAATGCTTTTTCAGTTACAATCTTGTATTTTTTTTTGACTTATCGTCATATGCAATGTATTTTCTAGGTATGATACTAGATTAGAGCTGTAAAACCCGGCTTCGATTTTAATGGGATTACTATATACATCGAGTTCAGTTTCATTTATATAGAATTCATCATGTGGTTTTAGATAAATTTAGTTGTCAAATGGTTCAATAACGTCATGTTTACTGTTAATAGGTATTTCATGTTAACTGTTCAATAGAATGCTTGGGTAACATTTAACTATATCAAAAGAGCTAAAAATAAGAAATTTTTACAGATCAACGATACATATAGCGATGTGTCTTAATATGTCAGCAAAAAGTTATCGAAAGGAAACTCTTTTATTGGTTTGTTCGGATCTCTGTCATAGTTTTTTTTATTTCCTTTCTCCTTCAAAAACTCCCTTAAATCAGCCTTGCTTCCCGGACTTTGGTGTTTTTTGGTTTTTTGGAGCCATATCTTTGCAGCTTTTCTCGGAACTCGAAACTTGCGAGATCAAGCATATTCATTGCAATATTCATCTATTTGTTAAGTTTTTCTGGAGCTATGCTGCTTTCCCCACCTGCTTCTATGTTGTTGTAGGTGGGAATCAGTCTCTTTACATTGACAGAATTAAGGATTGCTGCAAAAATCCGAGGCATTGTCCAATTTGTAGAATTCCTCTGAGAACAAGTCTCAGATCTTTGCGATCTTAGTCGCTTATTTCTCAAAATTTAGTGCATGATTGAATGAAATATTTTGTCCGGGACAAAAGCTGGGTGAAGCTTTCTTAAGTCTCTTTTACTTATGGAAAGTTCTTAACTGCATTCGGCCCATCAAATTCTTTGCCATCAAATCTGTTCTTCATAAAGTTTTGATACTATAAACGAGAACCTCATTACAGATGGCAAATAAACTCTTCTATCACTGATGTACAAATTGTGCTTGTTTCTTTTCATTCTCTTTTCACCCAGTTTGAGAGCATGGTCTTTACCCCCATCTTATTTGTAATGCAGAAGCCACTCACCAGATCTCAATTTTGGAATTACGCCAAATTTGTCATAAGATTTGTTTGTCATAAGATATGACATAAATTTTTCATTTTCAAGATGGCGCCATGTGTTCGGCTGCACTTGTCACATCTGATATGTTTTTAGCAATTGTTTTAACTTTTTACACAGATTTTTCGATTATTTTGTGGCACTGATGTTATGAAGTCTACTTTCTACACCGGGTTGAATTTTTAATGCGGTTTTTAAGCTGATAACGAGATACTTACGTCCCTGTTCATCACATCTTGCTCACATTGCATGGCCTAAATTTAAGCCCAGTGGCATGATCGAGTATCCTGACGTCAAAATGACAGTTTTGCCAGGAAGTTAGTAATGAGGAACAAGAGAGGATGCAGAGGAGGTTTTGCAGCTAACCGCTGGAGGAATTTTGATTTAATTACGGTATCAAATCCATGCAATCTTATAAATATTGTGACTTCGATTCCTGTTATCAATCATGTTTGTTTATCGAGGCCAATTATCAGTCACATTCAGAAGGGAGTTAACAAATCAAAACTAAAACAGATCAGGTGCAGTCTTCGTCCTCCGAGAACTCAAAAGAAGCTTTTGCTTGCCAATGTCAATGTGAGGTCTCTTAGGAACAAAGTTGCTGTTTTTGAGGATTTGTGTAATCACAGAAACATGGTTGAATGAGAATGACTGTGTGATTAGACATGATATTTGTCCTGACGGTTATGTTATCAAGGATCAACCAAGGGGAAACCGACGGGGTGGTGGCACTGGTGTGTTGTGCCTGAAAGCTTTGCGCCCGGAGAAAATATCAGTGGGACAAACTAGATCCTTTGAGTACTCGAAATATGCAGTTAGATTCGATGGCAAGAAGTTTTTTATCCATGTTATTTACAGGCCCCCTTATTCAGAACGAAATCCTGTTTCTACAAATGTTTTCTTTGAAGAATTTACTGACTATCTTGAAGGAAGTGTTGTTTGCGTTGAGCCCATTATTATATCTGGAGATTTCAATATTCATGTGGATATTTCTAAAGATCCTGATGCTGAAAGGTTTCTCGCCCTTTTGGAGAGCATTGGCTTGGAAAATCATGTTTTCATACAAACTCATGAGTCTGGCCATGCACTTGATTTATTGATCACTAGGAAGGATTGCGACTTCAGTCTTGGTTCACCGATAACTGACTTCTATATTTCCGATCTTTCATTTGTGAAATGTACAATAAATGTTTCAAAACCTGAGCTTGAAGTAAAAGACATTGTTTTTAGGAAATTGAAGTCAATAAATGCTGATGCTTTTAAGAACGACATCGAGGTATCTGAGCTGTGTAGCCGGGATTTCACAGATTTGGACGAACTTGTAACATGCTATAATGCAACATTAACTGAACTGATAGATAAACATGCCCCTGAGCCGAGGAAACGTATAACTGTCAGGCCAAAACAACCTTGGTTCAGTAATAATCTTGCAAAATTAAAGAGAGAAAGGAGAAAACTTGAAAGGAAGTGGATAAAATCAAAGACAGAACTTGACCACGAATACTATAGACAATGTTGAAACATGTTCGCTAACACAATAGAAACAGATAGATGCGAATACTTATCTAGTCTGGTATCTGAATGTAATGGTGATCAAAAGAAACTGTTCCAGGCTTTTGCATCTTTAACAGGGGATAAGAATACCAGTTCACTCCCAGACCATCGTGATCCATACTTACTAGCAAATAACTTTAGTAAATTTTTCATCAAAAAGATCGAGAAAATACAGAAAAATATTGACGATATTTGTGAGTCTGAGGCTATAGAAACCAACAGCTCGACACTGCCAAATCAATCCGATGTTTTGACTCGACACTGCCAATCTTGATCCAGCACCGACATGGCTAGTCAAGAAATGCATAGATGTACTGCTTCCTGTGATCACAAACATGATGAATCTGTCACTTTCATCTGGCTGCTTCCCAGATGTCTGGAAATATGCGGTAGTAAGACCCTTATTAAAGAAGCTTACTTACCATGTGTTTCCAACTTACCATATGTTTCCAAGCTAACCGAAAAAGCAGTTGCTGACAAGTTGAATGAACATACCAAATCAAATAAATTATTACCAGAAAAAGCCTCTGCTTATAGGAGGGATCATAGCACAGAGACAGCTTTGATAAAGGTTCAGTCGGATATGTTTGCAGGTATGGATTATCAGTATGTGACATTACTGGTGATGCTAGATCTTAGTGCTGCATTTGATACTGTGAACCATGGAATGCTGTTGAATAAAATGGAGTCTCGTTTCGGTATAAGTGGAACAGTCCTTAATTGGTTTAGGTCATATCTAGATGGAAGGAGACAAAGAGTTATTGTGAATAATGCCATATCAGAAGAGATGCATTAGAACTGCGGGGTGCCTCAGGGAAGCTGTTTAGGGCCTGTACTGTTTGTTATTTACATCAGTTCTTTCTATAATGTCATTAGTCAACACCTTCCAAATGTTCATGGCTATGTGGATGATCACCAGCTATACATATGACAACAACTGTCAAAGGTTTCTGTTGAAGATATAAGAGTAGATGATGAGGTGATAGCTTCTGTTGGCACAGTGAAGAACCTTGGTGTGTATTTTGATCAAAATTTGAAAATGGACAAACACATTACAAAATTATCCAGTAAGGCATTTTACCAATTATATAAATTGAAACGTTTAAGGAAGTTCCTTAGCAACGAGGCAATCCAAACTCTTGTTCATGCATTCATTACTAGCAACTTGGATTACTGTAACTCTCTGTTTTATGGCATGCCAAAGCATCTTATTGACCGACTGTAGTGTGTCCAAAATGCTGCTGCTCGTGTTGTGTTGCTACTACCTAAATTTGGCCATATAAGTACAGCCTTATTTGATCTGCACTGGCTTCCAGTGAAACAACGCATATGGTTTAAAAATATCCTGCTTATCTTCAAGTGCTTGATAGGAAATGCACCTGTGTATTTACGGGAAATGGTGGAGAGGTATGTGCCCTATAGAACTCTCAGATCGAGTAACGCGCTGCTGTTAAAGGTTTCTCGTTTCAAGAACAAAACTTTAGGTGCTAGAACTTTTGCCTATGCTGCAGCGAGTCTTTGGAACAGTCTTCCGTTTAAAATTCGTTCTGTTGACAATATTGATCATTTTAAATCGTCTTTAAAGACTCATTTATTTAAATTAGCTTATGATGTTATGTAATAGGTTTTAAATTGTAAAGTGTATAGAATATTGTATTGTAGTTATGCACTTTAATCATTATTATTATTATTATTATTATTATTATATTATATAATATTGTTTTTTTGGTCGTTGAGCATCGCAACGTCAAGACGCGTTTGTGCATGACCATATAGTTTAACTTTTAACTTCATTTTATCTCGCATTACGAAAGTAAAATACTACAAAATTTTTTTTTTTGCTAGTAGTGGAATATCTACTGAAATGCTACGCTGTTCTGGTTGTATGTTCGTTTTGCAACAAGGACTTCAAGTCGTTAGGCCGCCATAGCTGGCGTTGCAAGGAAAAAGTTGGATCAACAGCTAGTGGAAGAGATTCAAACAGGAAAAGCATCAATTCAACAAGCGAAGTGTTTCTACCCGTTTCTGAGACCCATTCGACAACAAGTAACTGCTCACATGTTCAATGTTGTTGTGGAAAAGTTTGTAACGGTCTTCGAGGTTTGAAAATGCACCAGCGCAGCTGCAGAGCGATCAAAGGCCTTGAGGGTGAAACGTTTGAAACCGTTCAAAGCGAAATTGATAATAGCTATGATGGTGGATCGAACGCAGCTGAACAGTTGGATCGCTTTGATTATTCGAATGTGCCTGAAATTAAACCCGGAATTAAGCTACCAAAAAACGATGAACAATGGAAAACTGCCAACACCTACTTCGCTGCAACATTGCCTTTAACAGAAATCAACCCATCTAACGTCAACGTTTCCATAAAAACAATGAACTCAGTCATCTATGATTATTTTCAGATCAATTATGGAGTATCAGACGACGTGATTAATACAAATTTAATTGAAAAATACAAACACAAGACAAAAAGTTCACTCAAGTCTTGCCTGAAATGTCTCAAAGAATCACAAGCTCCCCTCTGTGAAATTCGCTATGTATCTCGGCTTTTGCGTTCCAAGGTGGTACCAAACAGCGATACAAACAACTGCAATCATGATGCTGAAATCCAGAAGAAATTTTGGGGATATCTTAAGAAAACTCTTAAAAAGGACAAATCGAGTTTACCTTCCTTCAACGTATCTGTGTGTACCGACTTCTTCCGCACTTTTTTTTGTAAACTCAATCCCACAAAATCTTTCAAAGTTCCAGACTGGATCCCATCTCTATCTCTCCCTTCAGTTCCATACAATCTAGATCCTCCTTCTTACCATCAAATCACGAAAGTTGTTCGTCGAATGAAGTCGTCTGGTTCGCCTTGTCCGCTTGACAAGCTATCAATAATACCTTTTAAAAGATGTCCATATCTCCGTACATACATGACTGAGCTAATTCGAATAATTTGGAGTTCGAGTGATATACCTGAGGAGTGGAAACTGGCCTGCACAGTGCTAATCCATAAACGGGGCGATGCATCTAATCCTGAAAACTTCCGCCCTATCACCCTTGAAACCATTCCACTGAAAATATTCACATCTTGCCTACGCGATTCGATGTTTGCATTTCTCTCCGCAAACATGTACATTGAACACAGAATTCAAAAAGGGTTTCTTCCAAGACTGTCTGGAACATTCGAACATACTGCACACATGGCTTCTATCATTAATAAAGCTCGAATCAAACAGCGAGCTGTCGTCATCACATTACTAGACCTAAAGAATGCTTTCGGTGAAGTCCATCACAATCTGATCCCAGCAGTTCTTCGCCATCACCACATCCCTGAGCACATTCAAAATATTATCTGCAGCCTTTATACTGACTTTAAAACATCTATCATAACCGATACATTTCGTACCCCTTTTATACCGGTAGGCCGCGGTGTCCTCCAGGGTGATTGCCTTAGCCCATTAACCTTCAACCTTTGCTTTAATACTTTCATTCATTACATCTCAGATAATAAATTCAGCCAGTTCGGCTTCTATACAAACTCCTTAAACCCTGTCCATTGGTTTCAGTTCGCTGACGATGCGGCAGTGGTTACTGGTCAAGAAAACGAAAATCAAATTCTCTTAAACCACTTCTCTAGATGGTGCTCTTGGGCAAACATGCATATTCGGGTTGACAAGTGCTCAACATTTGGAATTAAAAAATCATCTACTTCATCTGTTCAGTTTCTACCCAAACTTATTGTCAATAAAAACATAGTTCCCACTGTTGAAAAAGACAAATCTTTTAAATATCTTGGTAGATACTTCAACTTTCCTATGGATAATAGTGATCATATGTCAGAACTATTGGAAACTGTCAACTCGTTAATGTCCAGTATCGACAAATTGTCGTGTCATCCAAAGAACAAAATTCTGTTATACCACCGATATGTGCTATCCAAAATTTCCTGGAACCTGACCATCGCTGATTTAAGCAAGACATGGGTGACAGAGAATCTAGACAATGTTGTTTCAAGCTTTGTTAGACAATGGCTCGAGCTGCCAATAAGTGCTTCACTAAGTAGCCTCGTCATTCCAAAATCGAAGTTTGGCATCAATCTCATTCTTCCATCTACCAAGCTCTTACAATGCCAAACAGTTATCCGCAACTCTTTAAGACTGTCCCCAAACCAAGAGATTCGCTCTTTATGAAAAGACTCTAGCACTGGTACAAACATACAATATGACGTTTATCGCAACACCAAACAAGTTCTCAAATCCATCCAAAATGAACACGAAAACCGCATTGAAAACGTTCTTACATCTCAAGGATTTATTATCTCGTGCATCTTAAAATTTGCTTCTAAAGGAACTAATCAACTTTGGTCTAGTGTCCAGCAAAAGTTACCAAAAAACATTTACAACTTTACCATCAAATACCTAAACAACACTCTTGCCACTAGAAAAAACCTCTGCAAATGGTCAATTACTCAGTCATCTGCCTGCTCTTTCTGTCTCCAATCAGAATCATTACAGCACATAGTCTCTAGCTGCAAGAATTATCTTGAAAATGGTAGGTATACCTGGAGACATGATTCTGTACTTCTATATTTGGCTAAAATCCTTTCAACACCTAGAAACAGCTCACTTTACGCCGACCTGCCTTCATTTCTATCACCTTCTTTAATCACAGGCGACTCCTATCGACCAGATCTTATCTTCGTAACTGAAGATCGAATCCTCTACATGCTAGAGCTTACTGTTGGGTTCGAAAGCAACATCGACGAAAACAGTACTCGAAAAGCTAGGAAATATAGCGACCTTATCAAGGAACTGAGCCCTGCCTATAAACGTGTTACCTTTGTTAACCTTTCTATGAGTGCCCTTGGCATTCTGGGAACCTCATCTACCTCTCTCTCTGACATGCTACACCAACTTAATTTTGACTCAAATCAAAGTAAATCCATCTTGATGAAACTCATGAACATTTCTATCCGCTGCACCTACTATATCTTCTGTCGTCGAAACAAACCATGGCTAAGCCCCGAACTAATTGACTTTTAAATATTGTAATGCAGATAAGCCAATTATATGATGCCTGTAAAAGCGAGTCGTATAATTGTAAATTTAAAATGTATTCAATGAAAATGAGATGTTTAAATAAAATTTTTATTATGGTCGTTGAGCGGTCGCGTGCGGACGCTGCTGTACACGGCTCCGGTTTAACTTCGTTTAGCAAGCCTGGATTTATTTGTTTCTATAAATTGTTTCAGTCAATCGTTCAATAACGGTTAAAGGACTTTGGAAAGAAATGGTTCGATCTTATATTATCTCAATTCTCATTCTATTTACCCTGTTCGTTTTGTGGAAGGGACTTTGTTACGTTAGGCCGACATCAATGGCGCTGTAAACGACAGATTCACAGCAAAGATACTGGACCCAACGGAGCAATTAAAATTCCATTCATTGACACCAGATCAAATTCTATTCTTGAAGCCCCCATTCTTGAAATTAAATACGTATCTGGACTTATTCGAAAGAAGCTCAAGACAAACATTCTACAAACAAATACTTCTGACACAATTGATCATGATAAATACATCGCTAAAAATTTTTGGAGTTACGTCAAACGCTTTTTTCAAAGTAAGTCATCACTTCTGCCATCATTTTCTGCTACACGGTGCACCGAGTACTTTAGTAATGCTTTTTCTGCCCTTTATCCAAATAAACGATTCACCATTCCTTCTTGGATACCTTCTTTCGATGAACCATCCTATCCATTTGACACACAACCTCCATCATATCAAGTGATAACTTCTATTATACGTTGCATGAAATCCTCCACTTCTCCCTGTCCCCTTGATAAGATATCCATCATTTGTTTCAAACGTTGCCCTTACCTACGATCTTTCCTCACCAAAATTATTCATAGCATTTGGGTGTCTGGCGGTGTTCCATCCGAATGGAAAAAGGCATCAACGATATTGATCCACAAAAAAGACAATACAGATGATCCTTCTAACTTCAGACCAATAATCTTAGAATCTGTTCCCTTGAAAATCTTCACCTCATGCCTACGTAACTCTGTTTTCAACTTTCTGAAAAAAAATAGTTTCATTGAAAGCCAAATTCAAAAAGGCTTCACTCCCAAGATATCAGGTACTTTAGAACACACGGCACTTATGGGTCATATGATAAATAAAGCTCGCACAAAACAGCGCTCTTTGGTTGTTACCCTGCTTGATCTCAAAAATGCTTTCGGCGAGGTCCACCATAATTTGATTCCTACTATTCTTTCGTACCAGCATATACCATCTCATATTCTTGTTTGGGATACGAACGGCCAAAGTTTAAAATGTAAACGAGACTTTTGAAAAATGTATTGATGGAACATGCGCAGTAAGGTTCGGGAATGCCAGCGTTTTGGAGGGAAAGTTTGTGAAACTTCTATCTCAACGCAAAGTGAACCAAGGAGCGATTCTAAGCGAGTTAGGCATCAATATTCAACAGACGAGCAAGGGAAAAAAGTTTCAATTGACCATACACTCCTAAAATTGTTCTCTATGCCAGGATGCTGTCAGTCTGCATTAGGCCTGTATCGCAGCTACGCGTAACAACCAGAATCGCAAATTACCACGAGGAAAAATCACTCCGTGGAAAGCGGATGCACCTTTTGTTGAAAATCCCATTGTTTTGTTTTTGAAAGCCCCTGGAAATCCTTTTGTTTTCTTGGAAATCTCGCACTTCAAATTCTGATGATAATGCCCCTTCTCCTTTATCTATTTTTATTGTTTGAAACAACTGCTTTGCTGCAAATTGCATAGGAGCAAGAATCTTTGTGAACACGGTATCCAGATTGAAATAACTTAAATTTCGTGCTTTAAAGGACCCTGAGTCCCACATACAGCTAATAACCTGATAAATTTTTTATACTGGGCAGGACTATTTGGAGTTGTTGCACAAAATTGTTGCTTATGTCTTTTTCTAAATAAACTCCTCATGTCAATAAGCAAAGGTCTTATGTCAGTTTTTACATCAATTTGGTTACTAGTTTTTTGCAAAGTATGTCCATTAGGTAGTCTAAAGGAACCCAATGTTTGTTATTTGTAATAAAAGGGAAACCCCAGTTGATTGCCAATTGCACCAAGTACAAAGTAGGTATTTGGCACAATTTCAGAAACATATTTTGCTGTATCAATGAAAAAAAACAAATGAACTTAGAAAGTTACCATGAGGTGCATGTCCACAACTGTCAGGATATATAGATCAAAGTATTTATTATTAATTTGATTTCCAACAGCAGTGTATATTTTGATTTTTTTGATTCAATGCATTCTTTTCCAACCTATAAATTATTTGATAAAACATTGATCATTCATCACTGCATAACATCCTTTTATAACTACAGCATGGACTGCACCATAACTACAGTTTGTGCAAGTAGTGTATTTTCAATAATACTCTGCTACATTTCCTTTAGAACTATTTGCTGAATGGGGAGTAACACTACGGGCAGCACCCCTCCCCCTAATATAAATTTGTTCACCAACACTGTAACTCCAGTTCAAAGTATGAAAGACAGAAGGCTTCATTCTAATGCAGAAAGATAGAAGAGGAGGTCTGTCACTCTCTCTGTTATTTAGAAAGGCTGCATGCTTTAAGTAAGCAATTTTTATAATTTCAGCAGTCAAAAGATAGTGCTTAAAATGCTATAGGTTACCTCATAAGAACCAATAAATTATGTTTCTATTACTTGAATTTTCCTTCACTTTCCCTAATAAATCAAGAACATATGGCATTCACTGAAGTTATCTGATTGACCATTTCTTATTTTGCAGATGTATGTGCATGATTTAAAGGGGATGTTTGCTTAGCTGTGAATACCTTAAAGTGCCCTTAAGTTTCCCATTTTGATAACTAAAGTAATCTTTCACTGTTCTGTTCAGTGACATGCAAGTTAAAGAAAAGTTTTTAATTCGTAATTCAGACATTTTTGAATAAAAAAAATAACATTTGGTTGATCCAACCCCACCAAAAACTTTTTTATTCTAAGGGGTCATTATTTAAGACAGGCAAAGGGATTTCTTATGATGAACAAGACATATTTTCAAAATTCTGGTAATCTCAATGTTACAGTACCACTTTCATTTTTGGAAGTGACAAATAACATCAAAAATATGACTCAAATTAGACCAGTCTAGAAGGGATAAATCTAGAAATGAAGAGTGTTAAAGCTTTGGTTGACATTGAAGCTCTGCTCAATGATGCAATTTCATTTATGTTGTTAGGCCCAGACGAAAAATATTTTTCCGTTCAAGATTGTGTATAGCCAACATAGTTTCCAAATTTACAGTGATAATACCCGATGTCCTTTTTATTCGATTCACAGTCCTCACTAAAACAAGGCTTCTTGATAGATAAACATAACGGAACAATTCTGCACCCGGAACCCCGCCATGATAATTCCTTCGGTTCATAATAAATCCAGCTACAAACACAAGACTAATTTCCTGTGAGCTGTAGCCTAATTTTGCTTAGAGGGCCACTCCATCTAGGCCTCTGCAAGAAAGGTACTTTATGAACAACAACAGAACGATAAAACATCGTGCAACTCCAGTTTCATTAAAGCGAGTGAAGCTGCGAGAGCGAGATATGAAACCAGTATTTCGCGGCAAAATGGAAGCGACTGCGCATGCTCTATTAATACACTTTTCTCTGATTGGATTTAAACTTTGAGCGACAAACAAAAGGAAAGACAATAGCCGTTTTAGCTCGTATCCCCAACAAATTCAGGCTCTGGTATCCAGCTTATATTCGCGCTTCAAGACCTCTATCCTCACAGATACATTCCAAACCCCTGCCATTCCCGTTTGTCGTGGTGTTCTTCAAGGTGACTGTCTCAGCCCTCTTATCTTCAATCTATGCTTCAATACGTATATACAATACATAAAAGCAGAAACATATAAACAGCTTGGCTTCTCTCCCCATGTATAAACGACCGCATGTTCCAACCAGTGCATTGGTTCCAATTTGCTGACGATGCTGCGGTTGTTACTAGTGGTGTCAGTGGGCAAATTTTGTAATAAGGGTGAATAAATGTGTCACCTTTGGCATTAAGAAATACTCAACAAGATCTCTTCAGTTCCAGCCAAAGCTTTTCGTGAACAACCAAAGCGTGCCTGTTGTTAAAAATGGAGAATCTTTCAAATACC